CTGTAACATGTTGAAGTGTAATTATTAAATAACTCTTAATTCTGCCAACAGATGGTGAATGTATGTTGGATTCCAACTGTAACCCATTGCCTGTTCCTGTTGAATCGACGATGTCTCGCAATTTTGGTAGTGAAAAAATGCCAGCTTCTTCCTTTGATAAGACGCCTGTAAGTCCATCCAGGGTGCGAGGAAGTCGCTGTGCTACGAACAAGGGAACCAGGTATTTGTTGTTTTGCTTTGATTTTGAGTGTGCGCTATAGCAAGGTATTTTCTATGCTCTATGTTTTTGTAATTCTACTTTTTCTGGGTGGTTTTCCATTAAAAATTCATTATAAAATGGATTAACAAATGGAAACAGTTGTTTGTATTGAACATTGTATGTGACGCAGTGCAGAGGTCGTCACATTCAGGAGATCCAGCATTTGCCGAGTCCGTCTGTTGCCTGAGGTCGTCGTAGTTTCTCGGGCAAACGCTCAGAAGCCAAGGTAGCCCATAAAAATGAATGTTCTCTTATTATAGACAAATATAATATGTAACAATTCAAATAATCAGACATACTTCTGCATGGTAATTGGTAACACTGGTGAGTCGGCATATGTCGGATATCATGAGTACGTGATTCAGCAGTTCTTGGAAATGTAAGTAAACATTAGACTTAAGTTTTTCCTGTGATTGCAATAGGCATTTTGTTGGTGTAATCTCTAATCTGTTTTTAAGCTATTTCATCAACATGAGAGGAGACTATTAGACTCAGAGTCTGTCCACACAATTTTTAATATAGTCTCATTGTTTACTGAGATCTGGTTCTATTTAAATGCCTGAAACTAATAGACGTGACTTAAATTGTATAAATATTTTCTGTTGTGGACTTCACCTCGCAGTGGACAGAGTCGTATGTAGCTTACCTGTTTAAGTAGAGTGTAGACTATGTAGATGTTGTTACCGGTGGAACTGGAGGGGTTGGTTGATGTTGAGGGTTAGATCTGGGTGGATGGGGTAGGACAGTAGCAGTGGTGGATGTAGAGAACTGTCGTAGGCATTATTCAAGATAATCTGGATTTCAAAACTGGGTTTGTATCGTTTAAATTAATCCCTTTTTTGACGCTTTTGTGTGTGTGGAATTTTTCTAGTCAGCTCATGTTACTGCCCTTCTTGGCCTCTTAGAGAATTTTTGTTGCATCTTCCAAGGTTTGTAGAGTATGTTGGGAAAATCCTGTGTTAGGTTTATCAGTTCTTGTATCCCGGATATTTTCCTTCGGCCTGTTTTTGAAATTTCTGCCTGTTTGTCCCGTATAAGTTTTGTGGCAGCAGAAATTGTGCAGAGTCAGTGAGACCAAGAAACCTCCGAAAAGGTGGCGGCGAAAACCCACAACAGGGTTGTAGTGCCGAGAGACAACAACAACGTACAGTATTGGACATTCTGAAACTGTACTGATTCCTCAGTTTTTGAAGAGGTTTGTTATTTTTCTGGCGTGCTGTCTCCTGTAAGCAAATGTCGCCCCTTTTTTAGGTCCGTCTGGAGATGAAGGATTCTCTGGTCATATTAAGTTTGAGGAGATGATATGTATGGTGTGGGGGGGGTCCATTTCCATGTTTTTGTAATTTATGGATAGTGGATATATATATGCATCATTCAACTTATACTTTGTATCGACTCTTGTATGATCTTGAGGCGTAAGTGGAAAGGCATCATCTGCCACAAAGTAAAATGGAAAAGCTTATTCTTACCAAGGTGTCAGTGGCAGTATGCGGAAGCATTTAATTCTAGCAAACGGCCATGAAAAGGTGAATGAAAAACAGCCCTATGCTCCTCCAATCCTATATCTCCAACACCGACGGTTGTGAACAATGCATCCGCATCGGCGCAAACCGTGGGCACATCGGAGAAATAGCATTTGTACGTGTAGTAATATGAACCAGAATTATGGAAATTCTCACGTCTCCTGTCGGTTGATCC